TCTTCTTTCCTATCCCTGTACATTTTATTTTCGGTCAATTTTGGTTTCAATATGCCTGAGTGCATGTTTCATAGTTTTATATATAATAATACAATCTGGGGGTATTATAGTGTATAACTAAACCCTTTACTTCTTTGTGGCCCAAATGTTTTAAAGATATGGTTTAATATGGAATAAACCAGGGGTGTCCCAACTACGGCCCAGTAGATGGTGCTGTTCTCACAGACTCAGCCCTTGCAAAAACAGAGCTAGAAATTGTCAAATTGAGCAAAATGAGGCATGGCTAAAATGCATGATCTGTTTGGTATTTTGAAAAAAAAAAAGTATAAATATGCCTTATATAGGTATGGTCCTACACTATATTATTCAAATATAGCATGATAGGTCCACTTTAAATTATCAATTGTTCTGGATACATGTGACTTACAGTGGCTTTGACTTAAATTCAGTGTCTTTCACAAACGTTTGCAGGTTAAAAGCTGTTACACCATGAACTGGAATACTGTCTTACAGTATGTTGGATAGAAAATGGATGTGAAAGTCTGCAGTGGAAAAAGCTTTCTGTGAACATTATGCACAACAGACAATAATGGCTTTTCAATCTCAATACATACATATATGCAGGGGTGCACATAACTGGTACGCAGGTACGCATGGCGGCAACAATCTGAAAAGCGTAACGTCAATTGTGTCACAAGTATATATACAGTCTATGGTCACAACGCGCCTTTGCGTACCTGATAGGTCATCAAAACAAAACACATATTTCGCCTACACATGTTTCTTGTCAATACTCAGTGGAGTAAATTATTAGACATGTCCAAAAAAAACAAAGACATTAAGCAGCCACTTTGCCGTTTCGCTCCCTGCTAAAATCTTCAGACTTTCTATGACTGATTGAACTGGGTGCTGGCCGTGCCGCGCAGGACATAATCGACGGACCTGTGAAGCTTCACAGGAGGCAGAGGCTTAGGTCACTGGACGACAGAGTTGGTCGCCGTGTGCACAGACGGAGCTGCTGTTAACGTCGGTGTGTACAACAGAATTGTACCAAAACTACGTCAACTGGCTGCGGTGGGAGACTCCCCTGTGCACATTCTGTGCCCCGCGCACACACTGGAGAACTGCGCAAAATCAGCTGATCACAACGTTCACGCTCTGTGGTCAAGCTGCTGCAGTTTTATTTACAACAAAGTGGAGTAAAACACACAGCTGCAAACTTACTCAGGCTGTTAATGGAAGAGTTTGAAATCAGACAGAGGTGGAAGAAGTGTTACTCAAGTAAAATTAGAAAAGTATTATCATCAAAATCTAGTTAAAGTAGCGACAGTAAAAGTAGTCATTTTGCAGATTGGTCCATTTCATAATAATGTATATGATATGTTTTATAATTATTGATCATTAAAGTGTTTAAAAATTAGTTTGAATGACTTTGTATACTGCAGGGTAGCTTGTGGATTTACTCCAGGTGGAACTAAAGTCTGATTTAACACTTGATTATATTTTCACATCATTCATCCACATCTGTAAAGTAACTAAAGGTATTAAATAAATGTAGTGGAAGAAAAGTACATGATTTACCTCTGAACTGTAGTGGAGTAGAAGTACAAAGTAGCATAAAATAGAAATACTCAAGTAAACTACAAGTATCTTAAATTGTACCTAAGTACAGTACTTGAATAAGTGTACTTTGTTACTTCCCACCTCTGAAATCAGATATGACTTCAAGTCATGTGATAATTTCTTAGTATTTGATCCTTCAACTTGGCCTCAGGAAATGCAAGGACTTCACAGTTTTGGCAACAAGTTTTGGAGAAAGCAAATTGGAGGCTTACAAAGAGACAGGGAGGTGCATCTTCATCATCTTCATCATCTAGCATGCAAGAAGTGTAAATAGAGGACAGTGAAGGAGACACTGAGGAGGACAGTGAGGAAAACTGCACTTATTAACACCACGCTTCATGTGGGGTGAGTACCAAACGCTGTCTCCTGGTACTCATCTGAGTAACTCACTCAAAAAGTTATGTGCACACCTGCATATATGATCCCTTACTATGGTGATTGCCAGATGGAGGCAATCTACCAGTGTTGTGAAACATATGAATTTATAATGTTTGTATGTGCAAAGAGTGACAAGGAATAGGTTATATAAGGAAAAAAGCTTGAATGACTTTCAAATGGAGAAATAAATAAGATAAAGGCACTGTACTTTTTTAAGGGTTAGAATTCATTTGTAATATGTGGGGAAGTAATGGGTGGATGTTTTGACTGAGATTCACCAGGTGCCTCACTGATTAAATGTTAAACCATTTATCAACCATTTCCACTTCAAAGCAAAAAAGTACATAAATGTACCTCGTCATTGCCTCATCAAATAATTATGTTGCAGCTTTGTTGGATGATCTCACATCAAGGTGTGATCGTGCCTTTGAAATAGCTTTTACTGGATCAACTAGTGGTAAGAGGCCCTCAAAAATGACACTCAGAGGCACTTTCCAATCTAATGGCCCCTTCATAATTAGGGCCTACCAAAGCAATTGACGAAAAAGCATAACTCAGTTTTATGATGTGACAACACTAGAGCAAAGGTTTGGATAAGTTTAGGCACTAAACAATTTGGTTAAGTTATAGTATATCTTACATTTTTTTAAATAGGAAAACCATCAGCGCCGACAGGTGTTCAAATCTGATGTTTGTTTACCCATCCCTCCCAACCGACCTCCATATGTGGAGTTTGTAGCTCAACATCAACATCATCTGCCATAATTATTGAAAGCTGCTAGAGAAATGTTCTCACATGTTGTTTTGGGACATTGAAAGACTTCTCGTGTTGTTCTTTTCGAGACAACAGTACAGTCTCTACTGGATCAAAGTTTTTAATATTTGCAGTTTGTAACTTTGTTAAAACTGTTATAATATATATTTTAGTATGACAAACAATGGAAATATTGACTACGTGTCATGTGAATGAATGGACTGTTTTAAAGTAAATCGGACCTTTAGAACTATTTTGAAATTCATTCTGAAACAACCTTTTTTGTACCTTCTTCCATATGAAAAATATACTTTTTTTACTATTTCGAAAAAAAGTATTGCTACACAGCCTGCTATACAACTACTTGCTGAATGAGAAGATATGTTCAGTACTTACCTAGTGCAAAAAAGCAATTATTGTTGTGAAACCTAAACATCTGTTGCCCTTTTGCGTCACAGCCAGGACAAAATTGATGCAAGACAACAGATACAAATCGGCCACTGCCATCGCTGAATGTCACCTTCTTTGCCGATAGGCTGATGGCCGTCAACAAGGAGAATATAGGTCAATAAATCAGAGCATCCCTTATGATTACCATGCAATCAATGTCCGGGTCAAATATTTAAAAAAACATTTGAATGTAAGACTAAAAACTTGCACACTGGCAAATGTAAAGGCCATCATTGTTTTGGCACATAAAGTCCAATTATGATTTCTTAGCGTGAAGATTAATTGTTTTAACTAGCACAAAAGGGGTAAAAACGTCTACATAGGCAAAATGTTCTTAAAATCAGAGAAAATTACTGAATTTGATGTAAAACCATGGCTCCATCAGTGTGAACTGCACTGAAGTGGCTCTTTCTGTTAGGTATCATGATGTCAGTGACCCATGGTGACCTGCCTCTGATACAATCTCCTTCTGCCATCTACTGTCAGCAAACGGCATTAGTGAGTAGCAGGCCGAGACTTCATAAAGCAGTACTTGTTTAAGGTTGAATTATTCTCATCTGACTCCGTCCTCTGTTCAACTAAATTTAAGATGATTTCCTTTATTTGGAGTGCCTCGCAGAAGAGGATCTTATTGCTGACATACAGTATAATAATGTAATAAACACTCAATCTTGTGTGGGCCCCAATGATTTTTTAAATGACACTTGCGTTACTGTTTTATCCCTAGCATTTGAAATGTTACGACAAATGTTTTATGGGGGTTTTCTTATTAGTTTGAGCAATTTTCTTACATTGTACAACTTGTATATGTATTTTACATATTCAAATGAATTATCTGACAAATGGTGAAGGCCATGAAGACGTGCTAACAAAAGTGCAAACAAGTGCTAAACAGTGCTACTCTGTGGGGATTGTTTCTTTTGCACATTAGATTTGCAAAAATCGAATGTACTGCCATTAATGTACTGCCTCGGATGTTAACTAATAGTTTTACATTTATTTTACAAAAAAGTGTCAAATTTTTAAGACAAAATGTCACAGCACAGCAAACCCCAAATGTCCTAGAAACTATTCACAACAAAATGAAAACAAACGAGGTAGCCCTCAAAGAATGAAGTGAGCACTCGGCCAAAATAATCATAAAATATTAACAGTGATAAATGTGGCACACCTTAAATGAGCAGACGCGCCCTGGATTCCGGTAGTACATGACACATTCAAGTTTCAAGTAGTGTAAAACAGCCTGATGGTGAGGAATAATGTGCCAGCTGTGATCGATGTCCCGTTTCTGCTCTGCGCTGTACTCTCCACCACAACACGGCGGAGAACAACACGGTCACACCGGACTCCAAGTGAAGCAGCCGCAGGACAGCATCGGAACTCATGACAGGTGAAATGCTGTTATATTTCCTCCAGTTTTAAGTTTGTGCAGAGATGTTAAACACTTTAAATAACTCCCTTGTTTAACCGTTGACATTATTTGTATTTTATTGTGCACCGTTTTTTATTATTTTGTACGTAAAATCCAATTTCCTTGAATTTCTTTCCAGTTTTATTTCACTTTACTATTTAACTTTTCATGTCTCCGTTGATTTTTTTTTTCTCTAGAGTCTAGAAACTACTTTTAATGCTGCAGAAACGCCAAATCTGACCTTGGTTTGCCATTTCACTGCAATTTGAAGCTATCGTTCGTAACACAACACAAAAGTGATATTGGTTTCATATAAAGTCATGCTACTTAAGTGTAACTAGTGTATTTTATTTTTTGGAAACTTTTAATCTTTTGTAACTCAAATGCCAAGTGATGTTTAACCTTCCATTACAGGGTGCAACAGAAACCCAGATGCAACTTGATGCTTGACGCTCTGCTGTAATACGTCAATGTGATCAAATGACATAGAAGAAAGTGTAAGGTTCTCTAGTTACACTGTCTTCGTCTGCCGGCAGCTAAGCCCCTGAGATTGTCACCGAGAATAGCCGACTGCCACCTAACATCTTGGTCAGGATGTACGGACAAATCCTTCATCCGAACAGCCCCGATGATTGCTTTATTAATGTCAATGTTGGTGGTTTCAAACAGCGAATGGAGCACGGCGTTCTGAATCGATTCCCACAGACACGTTTGGGTCGCCTCCTGTGTTGCAGCTCCAAAGAAGCAGTCCTGGAGCTCTGCGATGACTTCACTCCCTCGGAAATGGAGTACTACTTTGACCGCAATCCGCGTTTCTTCTGCTACGTTATCAACTTTTACCTCACAGGCAAAATCCATCTGGTGGAAGGGTTGTGCGTGGTGTCGTTCGTCCAAGAGATTGAGTATTGGGGCATCAAGGAGCGCCACCTGGACTACTGCTGCAGCAACAAATTCTATGAACTGATGCAGCTTGCTGAAGATAAGAGCTGGGATCAGAGAAGTGATGAGTTGCAAAGTTCAGGCTCATCTATTGAGGAGCTGTCAGTTTTGAAGGATGACATAGAAATGTTTGAAGGCTCCTGGTGTGCTGATGTTCGCAGGAATATCTGGATTCGACTTGAGGATCCAGCCTACTCTACTTCAGCCAAAGTGATGGCTGTAGCATCCCTGAGTGCGGTCATTGTCTCAATTGTTGCCATGTGCGTCCACAGCATGCCAGACTTCAATCAAGTGGATCACAATGAGAGGGAGATTGAAAACCCCGTTCTGAATTTCTTCCCACTGTATTACTTAAACATGTGCCTTGCTATCTTCCAGTTTCTTTAAAACGACCAGCAGGGGGCACCAGCATTTTACCTCTAATGCTAACGAACCAGAAACGGGTTTATTGCCTGTAAACAAAGGATTTTGCAGTGTATTTGGTGCATACATAAACACAGTAAAAGATCAATTGCAGAAAAATGTAATAAAACAACAATTTTAAAGATAACTAATTCAAATCCACACATTGGCTTTTAGTTATCTAATATTTAAGGCTGATTCAAGACATGGCAATGTAAAAAACAAAAACAGTCTTAAGTATTTGACCTGCTTTATTTAGTAAAAAATATGGACGTTCAGCTGCATATAAAACTGATAATGTGTAGCAGAAGGGTATGAAACAGAGGAGACAGGACATTTACAGTACAAGCCACAAACAGTCATATAAACAACTCTTAAGATTAGGAGAGAAATGCGTGGCAGAGGAAATGGTATACACAGTCATTGGCAGATACATTGTTAAGTGATTGGGCTTCTGAAGAAGAATATGTTCAGATATTTCAGTGCCATGATTAGCTGATGAGCGGTTTGTTCCTCTTGTCCTTTTGACGCACCTTGTCTTGTGCTTTCTGGGGAAGGCTGACGTCATTCTGGCTGAGCGCAGTGCGAGAAACTGCAGACATGCCGTCAACAAACTTAGTCTTGAAGAGGACGTTGGCGTTGGTAAACATGCCGTCCTTTAGGGACACCACCACAAACTGCAGGGAGAAAATGTACAAATCATCAGATTATTGTTGATTGTATTGGCTCCAACACTGTGGAACTCGCTTCCTATAGACATCCGCTCTGCAGTCTCTGTAGAAGCTTTTTAAAAAAAAAAAAACTACTGAAGACCTACCTTTTCACATTGGCTTTTATTTCTATTTGAAATGTGTGTGATGTGTTCAGTTATTATGTTTGTTCCTTTCAGGAGTCCACGTGGTCTGTTTTGTTTTTATGTTGACCTTACATTTCTGCCTCATGTGGTTATTGTATTCATGTTTCTGTCGTCTCAATTTTAACTTTGGTTCTTACTTGTGAAGCACTCTGTGAAAGGTGCTATAATAAATAAACGTATTATTATTATTATTATCAAGAACCAACCAACACACTATTTACTGTAATGCTTTAACAGGTTGTGAAGCACAATATCATTTGCTTAACTGTATTCAGAGGTTGTTGGAAATTCATATTTGTTGTGTTTACCTGTGAGTGTCTAAAATGTGATCGCAGCATCTGCCCGATGTTCTGTGTGTGTGAGAGATCCAGGGCAGCGTCCACCTCGTCTAAGATGTAGATGGGAGCCGGTTTGAACAGCAGCATGGCCAGGATGAGAGACAGCGCCACCAGAGATCTGAAAACAGAGTGGGCCATTACTCAAAAAGTGACTTCCTTTTCACCATGGAACCCTTTATATCCATACCTGTAATACTTTAATAGATACTTGAATTGTGACTGCATTAGAGAACTGTTGCTGACCTTTGCCCCCCGCTGAGCTCGGTGAGGTTTTCCTTCCAGGTTTTGCCCAAGGCCACTTTGAACTCAAGACCTTCCAAGACCCCCCCGCTCTGGGCAGGAGCCAGCTTAGCAGTGGCCCCCGGCAGCAGGGTGGAGAAAATAGAGCCAAAGTCCTTGTTTACCTGCAAAGGAAGGGGAACATTTCAAATGACGGTAGAAATATATATCTAACAGCAAAAACAGTGAGGCGGGAAAAAGTGGGATTTAGCAGTGAGAGTGTAAACGTCAACATGATTCAAAACAACAATAACACTGTTAAGTTTCAGATATGAATGACTCATTCTAAAACATAGGGTGATGTATAATGTACAGCAATTAATAACCTCTGAAATGTCCAGTGGACCAATTAGAATCGAGTATCCAACTAAGCTGTGTAACAATGCAGTCTAATAACTAGGTGTACCTAAGAAACTGGCACCCCCATGTTTATTGTCTCTTAATACACAAAATCAAAAGACAAATGAAAGAGCAAGAAATGGAAATGAAGGGGAACAATTTAAGTGATGCAGGATATATCCCAGACAGACACATTCTGACTATCGAGCCACGGTTTTGAGGATTTGACTCACTAGCGACATCTAAAATCTAAAAAGACTACTCTGTTTTATGTTGCATTAACAAAAGCCTTTTTAGTCTCAGGAGTTTATAAACTGCAAGTTATGAACTTCAGTTTAAAATATATAAAATGTTACCCAGGTATCCAATCAGTAATGGTAATGAAAGGCAGGTAATAATGAGTTATTAATGTGAGCTAAAGCCATATTGTGGTCCGTAGAAAAAGAAGAAAAGAGAGCAGACCTTCTGCCATGCCACGCTGAGAGCCTCGTTCTTCTTCTGGTCCAGCTCCTCGATCGTCTGCAAGATTTTGGCTTTGTCGTTCTCCACGATCCTCTTCTTCTTCATCAGGTCATTGTACTGCAAGAGGGGAGACGTGTCGGTTAGATGTAAGACCTTCGTTTTTGCATTTGTTGACGTAACAATATCCTGAAGTGTTTGCCCCCACCCTCTCCTCGGCCTCGTTCAGCATGTTCATAGCCCTCTTGTTGACGTTTCTCTCCAGCTTGCTGGTGGTCTCCTCCAGCTTCTTCAGCCGCTGACCCGCCTCTTTGGGGTTGTTGGTCTTAAAGTCATACGAGGTGTTGGGCTGGCCGAAGAACTGACGCTCCGACCGGATCCAGTCGTGTTCCCCCAGCATCCGAGTCACCTGGAGGGAGAACGTACGGTGAGGGTGAGACGTTAAGAGGACACTGATCACACAAGACAAGATGAAACACTCAGGGTCCCCATCATGGAATTATACTGTGGTAAGAGATTGAGTTTCTGTGTGTGTGTGTGTGTGTGTGTGTGTGTACCTTGTCAGCAGCTTCCTGGCTGTCTTTGCGGTGCTTGCTAATGTTGTGTTCCTGTTCCTTGATCTTCAGCTGGACTTCGTTGTTCTGCTCTCTGATTTTATTGGCCTCTGAGCTCTTACTCTGGAACAATCAATTGGATACAAATGATCAAACAAGTTGCAGTAGACATTTAAGAAAGTGAAAAAGATGACTGAGGAAACTGAAACTGTAGACTGTAATAAAAAGACATTCTGTCTCCCAATGAAACACTTTGAAGCTTCTCAAATGAGGCACTGATACCCCTTTCACACCAACGGTGTTTCAGGGCCGGTTCGGTGCTGGTGCTTGAAAAGCACCGGGTTTTCCTGTTCACACCGCAGCGGAGCAGCGTCATAGCTCCGGAATCCGGTTCGTTCCGAGCACCAAAAAGTTGTCCGTCTAGAAGCAAGAACCGCATACGTCACGCTTACGTCGGAGGAGGGCGAGATTAACCTGAGCTAACACTTAAGGCGAGTACGGCAAATAAAAGTTGTAACAAGCAGTAGTGCTGAGCAAAGTGACTAGAACGCAACCACACACTTGTTAAAAAAAACACACTTTATAAAGTCAGGCAACACTAACGTGTGATTCTGTTTATTTGTACCTTACTTTGACCATCCGTTCGCTGTTATTGATCATTGTGGAGAGCAGGCAGACGTTTTGTTTGTTATTATAGCAGCTATCGGATGGAATCAATACATGGGCTGCACAGGTTGTCATGTCCGACTATCACAAGTAGAATCATAATGAAAAATACGTCGGTAAAAAAGTGCCTGTAGAAAACTGCTTAGCAAGTAGTCAGTTTAGCTTCGGTTGCTATGCTAACATCACCCATGTTATACCAGAGAAACTTTCATAACAGCGTTGTGATGCCAAACAGCGTCAATTCAGACTGACACCAAACAGCGTCAATTCAGACTGACACACATTCACTTAAGGGGAACTGGGGATATGTATCAGCTGCTTGTGTGACAGTCAGACAGTGAATACTTTAGAGCCGTGTGAGCTAACCCGGAGCTAACGGGAGAATACACTCCCGTTGAAGAGCAGCCGGCCAGCACTGCAGCGGTCGGTAAATGCCGCTGAAACACATTAATAAACAATGAACCACGGCACTCTGGAGAAAAGTATAAGGTTGGAGAAGTCGTTATTTAATTTAATCTGGCTTCGTATGATTAAAAGCAACGCAGTCCCCGGCCCGTTGTTGTTGTGAGGTGAGCTCCGGCGTTGGGGAGAAACTCAGCGACGTAAACTGTGACGTCATGACGCAGCAGCGGCAGCACCAGTCGGGCTCTGAGCGGTGTGAAAAGAGCTGGCGCTAAACCGAAGAACCGGTTCTGAACCAGAAAAGCTCTAGCACGGAGCTTGAACCGGAGTTGCGTTGGTGTGAAAGGGGCATAAGGGAAAATCAGTGCAATCACCTTGAGCTCTTTGTCCTGAGCCATGATCCCTTCCTTCTGTCTGGCCAGCTCCTCCTGGGCCTTACGCACGGCCTCCTGCACAGCAACAGAACATCAGGGTCAAGAGGGAAAGGACATGACATGATTGGTTGAGTGCCTACTTGATGAATTATTTACTACATATTGGATTGTAATCATAAACGGTTACCTAAATAGACATTTGACTTCATCACTCTTCTGAACATGAATCCAGTGAACATGTGAAATACCTTGTTCTGTGACACGGTGCAGGCCATGCTGTCTATCTGCTCCTGGATGGCCTTAGTGGCTTCGTCTACAGCCTGGATCTGCTGCTCGTACCCAGCCTGCTCCCTGCGCAGCTCCTCCAGCTCCAGAGCCACGGACTCAGACTCCTGCACACATCAGCAAGAGAAGAAGAGTCAGTGCATGGATTCACTGTCACATAGCTGTTAAAGAAGGCATGGAGAGAGCTACTGGACCTGCTGCTTCTGCTTCAGCTTCTTGTTGAAGGCGTCAGCTTTGGCTTTGGCAGCATTGAGGTTCTGCTGAGCGGCTTTCAGCTCCTTCTCCCTCTCGGCCCCAGCATTCTTCATCTTGTTCTCCAGCACCTTGTACTTCTCTTCAGCCCGTTTCTGAACATCCTTGGTGACACGCAGAGTCTCCTCACTCTCCTCTGTTTGAGCAAACAATGACAAAAAACACAATGGAACACAAAGATAAGCAAGAAACAAAAGGACATTAAATCAGGATCTATGTATTGTTTTAGTTTCCTATTAGACCCTTCCCAGATCTAATGAATATCCGTGTACAGTATATTTGTTGTATTCAGTTATTTTAAACTGTGTTTGTGTAAATGTTAGCAGTCTTACCG